TTTTTGATTTGTTTTATATTTTTAGAATATTATAGTTTTTCAATTTCTTTTTGTAAGACTCTTTTTATTCTTTCCTAAGGATTTTATGCGTCTAATAAATATTATTATGGTGCGTTTCATGAATTTTTTGTTTTTGAATATGGCGTAATCTTTGTAATTTCCGCTGCGTTCTGTGACACTATTGGTTAGAAATACGTAAGATTGAAGCGCACAGATGAGATAGCTTTCAAATGCTCGCTTCTCTTTATGGCATAGCACCGAACATTGTTAAGAATTTGCATATCCTTATCTTATGAATACCTGACATGTACAGGTATAAAAACAAGTTCAAACGCTTCAAGCAACGAGAATCACATATACATGTACGTGATGGTAAAGACAATGATTCTGAAAAACACAGAGAGAGAACTTTACGACTCAAAGAAGATATCTTTGACAGTAACTATGGCAACATGACTACAGTTGGGTGAGCAGCAAATTAAGAAGCAATACTACGATGACTCAATCTTGATCCGAAGACAACATTCAAATTTGAGTACAAGAAGGCAAACAGCTTACAGTTACTGTCACACACACCGATTACATAAAAATAAGCTACAACAGGAAATTTCTCATGATAAACCAGCTTAGAAATCCATACTCATTATTTAAACTGTCGGAAACATCAAACTTTCTAAATCTGAATTTCCACAATTTAGATCATAAATAGTTTTTTGTTTAAAGCCACAAAAATGCCTAGATGTTATTAAAATGCTAATAAAAGTAGATTTCACTCGCATACGTCATTAAACTCCACTGCTGGGAATTGAAAGCTCATGACTTAAACATTTCTAAAATGAAACATGAGACACCAAACTAAAATGACCTATGTCCCAAGCAATAAATATCTTTAAATGAAAATCTCCGTAATATTGCTAACTGTCATGTTTTACATGACTAAGCCCATGAAATTAGGACCCTAGTTTTCAAACAGACATTTTACACTTATTTTATTTTGGTATTTTAATACATGTATATATATTTTTTCCCACACAACTGCATACAAGCATCGGTATATGAATTTCAATCAGCATTGTATTTTAAATTAAATATTCATATGTATTTATGTACAGTCTTGAAATTTCTTTGAAGAGCCATTAATCTGGGCTATCAGTTGGTATAGGTTTCATTAGAAGAATCACATACATAGATTTCTATTCCTATTCCCTGGTGTTTCACCACATCTGTAAGGTTCCCATCAGAATATTAGATATACATTTACATGTACAATGTACCACCATACGATGGGTG